ATTCACATCAGTGCTCTGAAAAAAAGCATATACTGACATGTTGATTTCTGACCTAGTTTAGTGTATAAGTAAAAGATATATTTATGCAAGAGGCCTTAAAAGACATCAGAAAAGAGTAAAAACTTGTTTATAAAATAATTATTTATAACAACTTTTTTATGTATCTTTGTCATTTTTTTCTTTTTTAGTCCTCACCCGAGGATATTTTTCCATTGATTTTCAAGTGAAGTGGAAGGTAGGGTGGAGAGGTGGGGCAGGGGGAGAGAAAGAGAAACATTGTCATGAAAGAGATATATCAATTGTTGCCTACTACACACACCCTGACCGGGTCTGGGGATTGAACTGCAACCCAGGTACCTGATCTTGACCTGGAATCAAACCCGAGACCCTTTGGTCTGTGGGCCAACACTGACCACTGAGCAGGGCATCTTTGTCATTTTTTATTTTATGATCCTTTTGAAACTACTGCATGGCAGTAGTTCTTAAACCTGAGAATCTGACCAAAGCTGTGGATTCTTTTCCCAGAAAAATACCATTGAAATACTACGGTGGAAATGTCAAATTGGCAGGTGATAGGTTTGAATCTCAGGGGAATAGTCTGTGATGGCGCTGTAGCTTTATGAGTTACAGGTGGTAGTGGATGGTAACTGACAACAGCCGATACAACAATAGCCATCCAGTGTGAATGAATCAAAATTATACCTATTTTTTTGTCAGATTGGCAAAAAACATGTTTCTTGGTGTGCCTCAGAATTTTAGTAATTAGTTTATGTGTGCCATAAGATGAAAAAGGTTGAAAATTGCTGTGCTAGATAGATTAAATGACCTATACGCCATTGACCTTAGAGAGAGCTGTTTCAGTGGAACAATTCATAGGTCTTAAAGCCATATTGGAGTGGGTGAGGACATCAGGAAATAAAGACAGAGAGAAGGGGAGAGGCTGATTCCATCATTTACAGTAACTGCCTGTTATTAAGACCTAAGGTGCCGCCGAAATCGGTTTGGCTCAGTGGATAGAGCGTCGGCTTGCGGACTGAAAGGTCCCAGGTTCGATTCCGGTCAAGGGCATGTACCTGGGTTGCGGGCACATCCCCAGTAGGGGATGTGCAGGAGGCAGCTGATCGATGCTTCTCTCTCATCGATGTTTCTGACTATCTCTCTCCTTTCCTCTCTGTAAAAAAAAAATCAATAAAATATATTAAAAAAAAATATCTATATGTTAATGTTTGTAAAAAAAAAAAAAAAAGACCTAAGGTGCCAGTATTTAAAAAACAATGCTGATCTGCTTCCTTAACTCTTAGTTTAGTGGTATAAGCAATAATTGGTATAGGGAATTATAAGTGACTTAGCTTTCCTGTTGTCATTCACTTGGTTCTACTTAAATTTCACCAATGAAAGCCTCAATTTCATTAATTATCTACAGAAAAATATTTTTTTATTTGCCTTTTTCACAAGGTAAGTAGTTATTGAACTAAGCAATTCAGCTTCTTTAGTGGCTCTCTTTGGAATAAAAGCTCTATGTAAGTAGATCCCGAGCCAAGAGCCCCGTGACCTTTTAACTTCAGTACTCTTTTAGAGAGCAAGGCAACGTATATTTTCAGGTCAGTTGTGAATGAGCATGTGCCTGTTTTGAACTTTCTCCTGCATCACCTTTCTCACATTCCTAGGTCACTGCCTTATGTGTCTTACTTCTTAATCTAACAAACGGAACACCTTAATTCACCTGGAGTAATTAACCTGCTATTAATGGATAGCTCAAAATTTTCCGTAGTCAAATGATTTATTAAGAGTGTGAATTGATTTCATACTGCTGTTCAGAAAATAGTAACTCATTTGTTTCAAAGTAATTTTTAGAAACTAAAATTTTCAGCATATGTTTATAAGTTCTAGTCCTGAGTTAGTCCTATTTCGTAACAAAAGCTCCTTACTTAGGTTTCTTATGAATCAATGAGCTACTCATTTCCTCTCTACTTGTAGGTGATTTTAAAAATAAGTATAAATGATATTGAAGAAACTGCACGTATTTAAAGTATAAACTTAGATGTTTTGACATATATATACATGAAACCACTACCATAATCAAGATAGTGAAAATATCCTTCATCCTCAAAAGTTTCCTTATGCCCATGATAGCCCCTCTTTCCGGCCCCTCCCTGATCCCTCCTCCCCTGGACCACTGGTTTGCTTTAGGTCACTATAGATTAGTTTGCATTTTCTAGAATCATACTGTGTGTGTGTGTGTTTGTGTGTGTGTAAAAGGCTAATATGCAAAGTATCCCCTCAGGAGTTCGACTGGGAAACCGGGAGTTTGATGGCTCGTTATGACGTGTGCAGACCGCCAGGAGGTGGCAGGGAATGAAGGAAGGCCCTGATCACTAGCCAGGCCTAGGGACCTTACCCGTGCACAAATTTTGTGTACCCGGCCTTCAGTACACACACACACACACACACACACACAAACACACACACACGTTCTTGTGGCCAGCTCCAGTTATTTCACATTATTATTTTGAGATTCATCCTTATTGTGTGTATAAAGAATTCATTCCCTTTTGCTATTGAATAGTATTCCATTGTATGGATACCACAATTTGTTTATTCATTCATGGGTTGATGGACATTTGAGTTGTTTCCAGTTTTTTGCTATTACAAATAAAAAGTAATGTACAAGTCTTTCAAAATATGTTACCTTTTCTCTTCAGCAAATACCTGGGAGTGGAAAGTCTGATCATATATGATAGGTATAAATTTCACTTTTTTAAAGAAACTGTCAAACTGTTTTTCCAAGTGGTTATACCATTTTATATTACCACCAGCAGTGTAAGAGAATTCAAGTTTCCTTACATCTTCACCAATACTTCATACGGTCAGTCCTTTTTATTTTAGCTATTTGTATATAGGTGTGTAGTGGTATCTTATTATGGCTTAGTTTGCATTTCCCGAATGACTAAAGTTCTTGAGCATCTTTTCAATTGTATATTGTTTTTTGTTGAAATTTCTGTTCAAATCCAAATTTTTAAGTTAGTTGTCGTCTTATTGTTGAGTTTTAAGAGCTTTTAAATTAATTTGGACGTAAGTCCGTTATCCAATATACGCTTTGCAAAAATTTTCTCCCAGTCTGTGACGTGTCTTTTCATTAAGAAAAAAATGTTTTTATTGATTTCAGAGAAAGGGAGAGAGAGAGAAACATTGATCAGCTGCCTCCTGCATGCCCCCTCCTGGAGATTGAGCCCACAACCCGGGTACATGCCCCAACTGGGAATCGAACTGATGACCACCTGGTTTATGGGATGACGCTCAACCAGTTGAGCCACACTGGCCAGGCTTCAGTATTTTTCATCTCAAAAGTTGTAGTTTTATTGAAATGTTTGATTTCATTTTTTTCATATCTTAACTTTTGAATATCTAGAATATAGTTGTAATAACTGTTTTAATGTTCTTATGTGCTAATTCTAATAACTGTCAGTTTTGCATTGGTTTTGATTGCTTGATTATTCTCTTCATTATGAGTTGTGGTTGCCTTCTTTTTTGCATGCCAGGTAATCTTTGATTAGATGTCCATCATTATGAATTTTACTTTGTTGGTTGCTGGATATCTTTATATTCTTATGAATTTTCCTGAGCTTTGTTTTCAGATGCAGTTAAGTTACTTTGGGGCTTCGTTTTTACAGTTTGTTAGGTGTGTTTGGAGCAGTGCTCTGCCTAGGACTAATTATTATTCCCCTCAACTGACATAGATCTTCCTGAAAACCACCCAGTGCCTGTGCATGCTGAGGTTTTTAAGTGTGACTGGCAGAACAGGCACTGTTCCCTGCTCTGTGTGAGCACGAGGCACTGTTCCCTGATATCCTTTAGATGGCTCTGTCTCTCACCTCAGGTCCTTTCCCCGCATGCATGCACAGTAGTCGGCTGGGTGTTAGAAGGAGCCCCTCTGTAGATCTCTGAGTCCTCTCTCTGAGCAGCTCTCTCCTCTCTGCTATTCTGTCCTGTGAACTCTGGTTGCCTTTGTATCCTTGGACTTTCACCTTCATCTCCTCAGCTCAGGGAATCCACTACATTCTACCTCAACTGCTTTGCCCTGTACTGCTGCCTGGAAACTTTGCAGTCAGTAAGCTTGGGCAGTTACAGGGCTCACCTCCTCTGTCAAGGATAATTGTCTTTCGTTGCCTGATGTCCAGAATTTTTAAAACAATCGTTTTTTGTATTTTGTCTGGTTGTTTGGTTTGTTTGTTTATTTATGTCCTAGAGGTCTGATGCACAAAATTGGTGCAAGGGGCTCGGCCCCCGCCACCACGGAGGCCACCTTCTCTGCCTCGGCCCCCACCTGCCACAGCAGCCGCCTCAGCCCCCACCCGCCACCACCTTGGCCCTTGCAGCCCCAGCTTCATCTGGAAGGTCGTCCGGAAGGACATCCGGTCTAATTAGCCTATTACGCTTTTATTATTATAGATTTGGTTGTGTAGGGTGGCAGGGCAGGCCTGGTTTCTGGACCCTGTTACTCCATTTTTGCCAAAAACAGAAGTACTGTCTACTTGTAGTTTTAATCTGAGAAAGCTCTTGTACTTGGATTCTTATAGACAAACTAGAGGCCTGGTGCATGAATTCATGCACGGTTGGGGTCCAGCTGGCCCACCCCAATCAGGGCCTATCAGACCAGGACAGCCAAGGGGAGGGGCCGTGGTTGGCTGGCCTGCCAGCCCTGCCCCCTGGTCCAACTCCCAGTTGAACTCCTGGTTGAGGGAACAATTTGCATATTAGCCCTTTATTATATAGGATTCTTGATAGTAACCTCTCATTTCCATCTGAGAGGCTCTCTCTATATACATGAGCTGTAGGGTAAGCTCAGATGAGCCAGCAGGAGTTTTGGAAGCTGTTTTAGGGTGTTAAACTCATTTTCTGACTCCCTTAACTCTGGGAATTTACTGAGTTATTTGGACCTAGAAGCTAATTCTAAATAATGATTTTATAAAATTCCTAACCATGTTATGATTTATTCTCAGAATTAAGAGAAAGAAAGAGCAGCAACGTTATGCTGAAGAGCAGAGGCTATTAAGAATGAACTTTCATGAAGAGCCATGTTCAGGGGAGAAGATGAGTGAGATGTTAGCGCAGCTACAGCTCGAGGAACTGAAAGAAGCCAGAGAAAAACAGCAACGAAGAGAAAGGGAATGCCAAAGGTACTTTCAGAATCCTCGCATGGAATTCTGGGTCTAGAAGAGACTTTGGGAGGTCAGTGTTCTTTCCCTTACAAGAGTTGCCTGTGTCTTTTCATACAACTTCGCCAAGTACCTCTTGGGAATAGCACTATGTATTCCTATTTCTCATACAAAGAGGAAGAGTCGAGCACAGAGGTGCAGAATAGTTTTCACAGTTAAAGCTGGTAGTAAAATGGGGACTCATGCTCATTCTCTTTCTAGGGGTTCACTGATCATACTGTGTTTCTGTAGGTATCTGGAAGCTTTAAGGGTCCAGATCCAAGAGAAAATGCGGCTGTATAATATTACTTTACCTCCACTCTGCGGCTGTGGTCCCGACTTTTGGGATGCTCATCCTAATACCTGTGCCAACAATTGTATTTTCTATAAAAACCACAGAGGTAAGTTTCTTAAAGGAACAGTTAGGGCCTGGTGGCAATTTTTTAAAAAGTAGTGATTGTAGTAATTTAGCATTTATTGAGTGTTTACTATATATCAAAGGCTGTTACAACCCCTTTACAAAACCACTCCGAGGCAATAAAAATAGGTGATAGTGAGTTCTATTTCTCTTTGAGATCCATTATCATCCTGTCTCCATTTATGCTGGGGAAATGGTTCCAGCTTACTCTACTGTAGGTTCCAGGTTCTTCTGTAAATGAAGAATGTTAGTTTGCCTTTCTGGCCATTAAGTTGGCCTCTGTCTAGTTGAATTCCCTGTTGTTCAAAGACTTTAATGTTAATCTAACGCAGATTTATGACCATGTGTATCCACATTAGACTGTCAGTTCCATACACCCTTTGGAAAATGAGGACCAGTGTAAACTCTGTCTTTATCAGGAATCCCAGCTGGAGAAAATGGAGTCCTTTCTATTGCCACTAATGTTTCTGTTTCCTGTCCACCCTTAAATATATTGGTTTACATACTGTGATGATTATGTAGGCTTGATGCACGCACTGAAACTACTGCAAGTATATACATTCCTAGTGCATCTGTATGATAGGAGTTTCTTATCAGTTCTGTGAGTTATATTTAAAAAACACAGATCGATGCCTGGCTGGGGTGGCTCCAGTGGTTGAGCATCAACCTAGGAACCAGGAGGTCAGGGTTTGATTCCTGGTCCTGGCACATGCCTAGGATGCAGGCTCGATCCCCAGTGTGGGGCATGCAGGAGGCAGCCTATCTGTGAGTCTCTCTCATCATTGATGTTTCTATTTCTTTTTCCCTCTCCCTTCCTCTCTGAAATCAATAAAAATGAAAACTCCACAGATCTGAAGATGCCATTCCCCTATTCTCAAATCTCTAGGTTTTTACAGTACAAAATGCACGGCCTATTTGGTATATTTTCTCTCTGGCCCCAGGCAAGACTCTCTAGCTTTATCAAACTTGCTATTGTTACACACCAATATATGTCAAATTTTTTGTTATACCTTTGGAACCTCACACGTTGATTCCCTACCTAGAATGCCTTCTTTCCTTTACTCTTAATAAGCCTTCAGACCATCTAAAATGTCCACTTCTGGAAATCTTTTCCATCCTCTCTTAGTTTTAATTCATTCCAAACTTCATTATGTGGTGACATTTCATGTATGTCTCTGGATTGGAATTATTGCACTGCAGTTATTTTTGTCCATCCTCTCCATTGTCTTTTCTATCCTCACAGTGAGTTTGGTATGTAGTAAGTACTCAATAAATATTTACTCAATAGGTAAAGTTAATACCTATGAGACTGAGTGGAGAAACAGTAGTAATAGGAAAGAGGTTGGGAGAGTTGTTTAAAATGTGACTTCATTCATCTCGGTTCAAACCTTTATTTGCAGCTTATATCCGGGCACTATATTCAGTCATCAATTCCTGTGATAGAGGGACCTTGATTCTTCGAGCTGCCATTCATAATTTTGCTTCTGCCTACAGACGGACTTTGAAAAATGTATATGCAGAATCTGAAATCAACTGTTAGTATTTCAGCCTTCGCTTAAAATCAATTCTCTGAGAGATTGTTCAGGAAAAACTGTTAAAGTATGTAATCTGGAAAGGAAGACTGTCGCACGTAACAACAGTCTCTGCAATTATATTGGAACCATGGTTTCAGTCTCCATCTTGGGACCACGATGGGAAAGTTGACTTCCACACTTGCCTCGTGGTGTGAACCATGTGGAGTTTATTGTTTTAAAAATGATCAGTCAGACCAGTAAGATTTATCTTATTTGCTCTGTTCTGATCTGAAGAGATCATGAGAAATCTTTGAGATTACCGTGTTTGTTGTCTTTCTAAAACTGTATCTTTGAGTCTTAACAAAATTGGAAATGTCTGGAAGAAGCAGAAAAGAAAGATGATGAAATGAGTTTCCGAGCATCAGTGGCCATCTAGATTCCTGCTAGCTTTTCTAGTTGTGTATAACAATTAGAGATGAGAAGGATTTGAATTTGATGCAATTTTTTTCTAAAAATTTCTTTGGGGTTTGTGTGTGTGTGTGTGTGTGTGTGTGTGTGTTTTATTACCTCGGGCATAAATCTTTTTAATTTTATAATTTTCATTGCCAAAAAAGAGAAAATAAACCCTCTGTCTTTTGAGCATCTTCTTTGTGAAATAATTGTGTGACATTTCAAAAGTGTATCTGAAGTCAAAGTGAGTAAAATCCTGCCTCAGTTCCCAATCTTTTAAAAATTTGCTGAATGGCATATCTACAGAGCAGATGAAGTAAAAATTCCTATAGCTAGTATTAATTTGTTAATTCTTCTTTTTTAATATATATTTGTATTGATTTCAGAGAGGAAGGGACAGGGAGAGAGAGATAGAAACATCAATGATGAGAGAGAATTATTGATCGGCTGCCATCTGCACACCCCACACTGGGGATTGAGCTCGCAACCCAGACATGTGCCCTTGACTGGAATCAAATCTAGGACCCTTCAGTCCGCAGGCTGACACTCTGTCGCACTGAGCCAAACTGCCTAGGGCTGAAACATACTTTTAAATGGCACACAGACAAAGGACCGTACATGAGCAGGTTAGTAAAACAATTGTGCTAAGTTTCTAAAACAACAACAACAACACCCCA